GAAGACTACGAGAGCTTCGTAACGGACGAGCTCGAGAAGGAGCTTGGCAGCGACGAGATGCGAGAAGATACCCGTGGCGTTGACATGTGATTTGGTCTTTTTTCCTATTAGGACGGAAGAGGAAGCACTGCTTTGTACACTGCCGCATCGTGTGTTGTGTACGTGTTGTTTGGCGTGGAGTTTGGGCGGAACTTGATACGAAGAACTACTATGAATGACCGGATGGATAATGATGATGGCGATGAAGGTTACAAAGGCCGGTTGGAAAATACCTATACTTGCTGCCCAACGGTTTTAGAAGAAGCAATGAGAAGCAATAATTCCACGTTATGAACTGTTCCAAGCTCTGTTGATTCTTAGTGACGATCTTGAACTATTACCTGGTATAAGTAGTTCTAGAGTATAGGAGGCTATCGATAATATGCATCAACGGCTAAGACCGGAGTTGAACTTGGCAGGGATATGAGCTACCCGAGTACGGAAACCCCACCAAATTCATACGTATGTGAGCTTACGAAAGTGCCACGGATTAGGTATCATCTTTCTATCCTTCCCTAGAGCAAGTGCAAAATGTCGTTGACACCCGCCTCCTCCTCCTCGTCAGCCGTCTTCGCGACCCCGACGAGCCCGTCATCCTCGTCTCGGGCCTCGCAGGCGCAACCGACGCCGACGACGACACCAGCAGCAACGCGAGGGGTAGCGGCTACGACGACGACGGGACCCGGACCGACGAGCAGCGCTGCTCCTCCTCCGGCCTTCGAGTTCCCGCGCGAGTACCACTTCCCGCCCTTCTTCACGCGGCAGACCAACGCGGCGACGCTGCACAGCCAGCTGGACAAGTGGGCGTCGCTGGTCGCGGCCTACTGCCGGCACCACCGGCTCTTCCGGCTCTCGCTGTCGCCAGCGGGCGTCTTCGGCGACGGCGGCGCGCACGAGGCGCTCTTCCGCAACCGCCGCGTCGCCCGCCGCCTCGCGCCCGCCGACGCCCGCGAGGTCCTCGACTTCATGCGCCGCGACGGCCGCGCCGAGCCCCTCGACGCCGACACCTCTGCGACGAGCTTCTACTACGGCGCCCTTGGAAGAGATGATAGTGATGCTGCGGGCGCGGGCGACATCTGGTGGATCTACTGGAGGACCCCCGAGGAGTGGGCCGGCCTTGTCGAGGCTTGGGTCGACGAGACGGCGCAGAAGGGCACCGTGCTCACCCTGTACGAGCTGACCGAGGGCGAGGATACGAGGGGCACCGGTAAGCGTCTTTCTAGTTTGCTTGCAGGACGTAGTGTTTTCATAGGGAATACGAGAATAGACGAGAGGGATATTAAAAAGAAAGCATGTCGGTCACTAATACGGGTTCAGAATTCCACGGTCTCGATCCCGACCTGCTCCTGAAAGCACTTCAAGTCTTGGTCAAGCGCGGCAAGGCACAGATCTTTGGTCAGGAGGACCAGCAAGGTGTCAAGTTCTTCTGATAATGGATTGAACTTGCTAGTTCCGATTATAACACTACCTGTCTACCACCGGTCCAGCAGGCCGAACCCTTCCGCGACCTGGGGCTAGGATGCTAGAGTAAATCAAAAGGGAATAGACGCCATGCGAACGCCCGTACGCCTCTCGCCCCGGCCGGCATCTCGACATGCAACAAATTTACACATTAAAAAGGTCAGAACAGCCTTGCTGCGGCGACTATCCCTTGGCGAAGAACTTGGTCACCAGGTACTTGTCGTCGAAGAAGACTTCCTGCTTCATAACCACGTCCAGCAACCAGTCCGCCGCGACGATGCGGGGCTCCATGTTGCCCTTCCTTGCCATGTCGGTGAACTTTGGCCACAGCTTCTTCTCTTCCGGGCTCGAGTTGCTTAGCAGGTAGACCGGATCTGGACCGCCATCGTCTTCTTCCGGGCGGGTAGGCCTGATCGTGGTACCGCTTCTCGCGCTGTACATCATGAATATGGCACCGTTGGCCTCGGCGATGGCCCGGTAGCCGTCCGGTCCGTTCTTGATGCTAGCTGTACAGTATATAGGGGTGTGCCAAAGGAGTTTCCCGTCGTTCACTCGGGCTTGACGGACGGATTTCGCTAGCGTGATGCCGAACTTCTTCTCGTTCTCCTTGTCCTTGAGAACGTAGTCCTCCGGCTTGTGCATTTGCTTGGTATCGAGACACTCTTCGATCCAGTTGGAGGATACAACGGTGACCCCCTTGGACAGATTGCGAAGGAACTTGACTGTTCGTACCAATGACGGGGCTACGAGGTAGTCGCATGGCTGGCCATCCATGACCACGGCGATGCCCAATTCGCGTAGCTTTTTCTATTTAAATTGTCAGTGATGTTGGAGGGAAATGGTCAGATATAGATAGGAATCAATCCACCTACCCGATCTGCGTCCTCGCGGTGCTTATCCTTCACCCACCGATGAAATCCGGTCAGAACTACCCGCTTCTCAATCTCTGGGAGTGACGGCCTCGCTCTCTTGGCTGGGCGTTTCTCGGCCTTGGCGTCTTTCTCATCCTCTTCGCCCCCTGCCGTCGGAGACGAGACGCTTCTGCGATTGAGATGTTCTCGCTCGATCTGATCGGCTGCTCGCTTACCGCCCCACAGTCCGTGGTAGTCCTTGAGTCCTCGCTTCTTTTCTTTCTCGTATAGGTTGATGTCAGGCGCAAGGGCGGAGAGCCTGTTCAGCGCCTTGTCCTTGGCGCTCCGGCTCGACGAGGAAACCGTTGATGGCGTCTCGTTTTCCTTTCCGGCGCGGACGTGACGACCCTTAGCCGGGGTAGCAAACTGCGTTGTCGGCCGGCGCTTCTGTGGTGCTGGTACTCCGAAGACTTTTGTTGACTTCTCCACAAGATCGGCATCCGTGTCCATCATGACATCAAACTCCTTGTGCGCTTGTCGGCCGATTACGACGCCTTCAGCTGGTCCACTCGAGCTCGAATTTTCATCGGCCATGTCCTGTGCCTTGCGCTTCAACTTGGAGGACGGGCTGAGCTTCTCCGGTCCGCCGGGATAATACAGAGCCCGTAATCTTTCTTCAGCCAGGAATGTCTGGCCTATAATGCTCGAGAGGTTCGTGCACGGTGGGAAGGTATTGTAACTGGCTGTGGTCATGGGTTGTGCCTGGCATTTCGCGTAGCTCTCTTCGATCCAAAGGTGATTGAGCCTCTCGATGCCCCAGTCGATCGCGGCATCCCATTTCTCGCTGTTATTCCGAGCTGTGATCAGATGGGTGTTGTCGGCCTTCATCGTCTTGGTATATTCCGCCCCCGAGGCCTTGATCAGATTCTCCAGATATATACGTGCCTCGCCTCCATAGTTTGATACGGTAATTTTCTTACCCTTCAGTCCCGGGATACCGTCGCGCGGGATGGGATAATGAAGCAGACGGTGTAGAGGGTTCGACCACTTGTTGTGGGTAATGACAAAGTACAGCCATGACAGATTGCCCACCGTCTTGCACGCCTGGGCGGCACGCACGTACTGCGGCCCATCACGGTACTGGCAGATGAACCAGTCGCAGTCTTCGACTTTATCCACAACCTCACCTCCGCCGTTGTTGATCAACTCCTCGATGATTTCCTGGAGGCGATCCCTGATCGACAAGTCTGTGGACAGCATGACCTTCTTGCCCTTGAAGGCGTCGAGAATAGGCCGTGCGCCCCCAGTGTTATCGGGCGTAGGCATGTAGTCTGGTTGGGCCGAAGTAGCACCTTCAAGATGCTGGCTGGATGGTACCGCAACTTCGGCCGCGAGCCCCGATTGAAGATATAGGGCATCAGGCAGAAGATAGGGGCCTTCGTCGATCCGCTTTCCGAGCTTGAAGCAATCGTCAAACCTTTCGAGGATGTGAGACTCGAGCAACCTCAGTTCTTGAACGGTGCACACTTACCAATGTGGAAGAATGACCTTGCACTTGAGCTTCTTCTGTGTGGCCAGTTGACATTTCGGATGATCCGTAGAAAGAGCGCAGATGTGGGTGGTCAATTTCGTGACGCTTTCCGAGTCCATTCCGCCCATGGCCATCGTAGCGCCGATGATGGTGTCTTTGTCGGTGGGCGGGATGTCGGCGCAGGATAATACCACGTCGGAGAAGATCATTCGGGGATCGGGCGTAAAGGGGCGTATCTGGGCTTGCCTATTCTTCATTATAGACACTTGGACCCAACTCGGTTTGACAACGGCGATCATCATCGAAGTGGCCATGGTATAGTCTTCAAATTCGATCGTGCTGGCAATGATGTGGGTAATCTTGTCCTCGGCGAGGTGCTCTGGTCTCCTGCTGCTGGGCTTTTCGAGAATTGAGCCGCCATGGTTCGTGATTACGTCTGTAAGCTATACAATCGGTAAGCATCGCGAGTCCGTCCCAAGCAGATTTTAGTCAGGAATTGGCCATACAGTATCAATTTTCTTCTCGTCCAACTCTTTGTCCTGAATAAACATGAAGACGCAGTTGCTAAAAAGCGCGCCAGAGCCGCCCTGGTCCGCCATCGTGGAAAACGCAGACGCGCTATGTGTCAAGCCAGGTACGAGTTCAATGTTGAGACATTCCAGGACGAATATATGTTCTCCTTCGGGTGCGATAGCAGAAGAGTCAAGCAGATGAGTCGGTTTGTCGCGTGTACTCTCGTCTGCAAGATCGGACCTTGGTTGCCTGATTGTTGGTAATGCGAGATCGACATCAGTCTTCGCTGGGAAAAAAAAAAGGCGGGACGAATTTGTTTTCTAGAAACTGCTTGACGCGTTTTATGGGTTTAGCGCATTGCACTTAACGCGAGAAGGGGTCGCAATCATGTGATGCGTGGGTGGGGGATGACGACGAATTGCATACGGACATGTATATATGCGCGTAAGCGGCTTGGTGATTGCCCCCAATGTTCGCGGTAACCCGGCAGCTAGGCAACTAAGCTACATACCTCAGGTATTGCAAGCAGACTCTGCTAATATAGTCTTAGATAATGGAATGATCAAGATAAATATGCGAACCGAGCTTTATCCGAGTCGCGTAAGGCCCTGCTGGCTCAATGGTAGAGCATCAGACTTCTAAGACAGGTTGAATGGATCTCGCCATAACTTACGTCTAGACATCTGAAGGTTGTGGGTTCGAGTCCCACGTAGGGTGTGACGTGATATTTTGTTGTCTTTGAGTTTGTTTTATCTTTGGCCTCAACTTTTCTCTGCCTACGATACCCATCTAGCATGACCAGCGCCTGTGCCAGACAGTTTCCTTTTCAGTTACGCCTAGCTACGTGTACGTATTAGAGTGGCAATTATTCCACGCCTAATGTCCTTGTGTATAATAGCCGTCAACCGTCAACCAACAGCCATCACATCGGCAATGACTGTGCTTGAACATTATTAGTATTTATGCTTGATGCTACCTAGACCTTTATGCTACCTGACCTCAATTCGGTGTTTCCCGCCCTGCCCTTCTCCAATATATACTTTCGGCTTACTCTCCTTCTCGGCCGTCCGAGACAGATGACTCGACATGACCGACTTCCCGTCTATCGTAACACTACCGTTAGGTCCGACAGGAAGAAGGAACTGGCCATGAGTTCCCTCCGGCACATCGTACTCCAGTACATAAGCACCAGAGCCAACAGCCGTCAAGTTTGCCGAGTATTTCCCAAGACTAGTCGTGAAGCCGGCCTCGACGTTCTCGAGATCTCCGGGGTGAGGCGAAAGTTGCCAGTTCTTGCCGGCCGGACTCGTAATGCTCAGGCCAAGGACATATTCGGTCAAGGCCGTTACTGGACCTGTCGCCCACCCGTCTAGAATAATTCGAGTAAGTATTTGTTACATTCGTAGTCGCTCGCTCGGTGTACTACTAGAAAGATAGTCTCGGGGTTCTACTTACGGGAATGCGAAGTGTACGAATAATCCTCTCCGTATCCAGCATCGTGTCGGTACCCGAACGAGCCATCTACCAGATAACCCTCGATCATGGTAGACTGAGTCCCGTTCTCGTTGTTCAGGTACCAGCCCCAGGACTTGCGAATCAGATCGAAGGCTCGCTTCGTCTGTCCTACCAGCAGGTGTGCCTGGATTTCGAACGAGGAGATGAACGGCGAGATCTCGCCCGGAAGCTCGGGTGTTTCCGCCCCAATCGGAGTCCAGTTCTTGGTCAGCGACGTGGAGATCTTCTGCGCTTTATCCGACGTGGCGTTCACCACCCCGAAGAGAACCGCCAGAGCGTTAGCGTCCTGGGGGTGTAAGCCCGTATTGCTGCTGCGCGACTCGACGCTGTTGTCAAACGCGCCCGATGTTTCGTCCCAGAGGCGCGCAGATATAGCGCTTCGTAACTTGGACGCGGAATCGAGCCATGTGGAATTAACCCCGGCCGTGTCATTTAGCCACGTAGCCAGCGCGGCACCGGTAACGAGCGTGCGGTAATAGAGCATCTGCGCCGAGGCCGACGTGCTGTCGGTGTAGAGGCGACCCCAGTCTTCCGTGTAGCCAGTGATATTCAGGAGGCCCAGGGATGGATCGAGCTGACCGGAAATAAAATCCATGGCCGCAAGATACTTGGTCCAAATGCCTCGGATGAAATCAAAGTCTCCAGAGTACAGGATGTAAGTGTAGGTTCCTATCATAGTCCACCTTGGATACGGTCAGCCAAGTGTGGTCGAGATGGCAATGCAGGGAATAAGGCATTGTATCTGGTCTTACATGTGGTACGTGTCACTATTCGTAGCAAGAAGCGGTGGTCCCGAGAAGGGCAGCAGGCCATCATCTCCCTATACATAAAGAGATCCAATCAGTAATGAGTTCACATTGAGAGCGTGGTATTCGGGAAAAGGCAGCACTAACCTGGATGCCATACAGTGTTGCTAGCGAGTTCTTGACACTCCTAGAAATAGTAAGTAAGTGGCTTCGCTGATAGCTGATAGGCCTCGAAGACTGACTCAATATCGCCTGTGCTGTAGAAAGCGGCAGAGATGGCAACCCCCATATCTCCAGGCCAAACGGTCCTATCACGTTTTGCACCATCGGTATTGATCGTGTTACCGGTGCCGATGTCTCCATTGTTAAGCCATTGGGTGTCCGGGGCAGGCCAGGCTCTCCCGGTTGAGGGATGAAGTGCATTCGTCTGGATAGTCTAGAGAACCCGTTATTAATATCTAGTTTGTCTTGTTTCCTAAATTCCTACTTTAAAGTGCCGAGTCGATAGAGCAGAATAAGGAGACGTATAGAATCTTCAGTTATACTTACATAGGCACCGCTATACCAGATCTTATTCAGTAGATCATCACTGCTGTGAAAGTACCCCTGATAGGCTCGGAGGTTTGACCAGGTCGGCTGGAAGGACAACTCTAGACTAACGTTGTTAACCGTGACAGAAGAGCTGTCTCCGACGAGGAATAGGGTCATGTATCGAAATCCGCCGCGAAGCTGCTCGTCCGGCATGACATAGGTCACGTCTCCGGTCGAGGAGAAGTTGGCATAGAGAGCATCGTCCTTCCTTTCGAAGACGCCACTTGAAGAATCCGAGACAGGGCCAATCCAGTCTTTGGCTTCTGTGAAAGCTATGCCGAGGGCACCTTTGCCCTCGGTAGATGAGACGGAGAAGTGAATGGTAGCAACGCCTCCAACCTCAAGACCGAAGTCGTAATAGATGCCTGACTGGGCATCAGTCAGAGAAGCGGACCCCAGCTTAGAACTCTTGCCAGTCTCTAGATCGGAGACAGATTTGGGCTTGACAATTCTGGACGACGGGGAAAGCATATTCGACTCCCATTCACCGGGGAAAGCTGCTTTTCCAGCACCGGTACATGGCGTGTCTCTCCAACAGGTTTGAGCGACGACATCTTGCACGTAGAGTAGAGACCAGATCGTCCGAATGAGATGGTAGATGGACCATGGCGCCATAGCGAAAGGTAGCGGAGAACTGATTCGTCGAGTATACTACCGCATCAAGAAGGGATGAATAATGAACGGCTAGAAGAGAGGGGAACGAATGGAAGATTTATAGAGGCACATTGGGCCCTTTGCGAAGTATCGAGGCCGCGAACGTGCGAGAGCTGCATGTGCTGTGAAGCTGAGTTGCAAATAACGCGTGATACGAATACCCGTAGCATATGTAGACCACTTCTGAAGTAAATATATGTTCTCTTTGCCTCGAGTTCGCGCCCGGGGTTACATAGCCACCCCACACAAATTAAGACAGGCCCCTGATGCGGCACAGCATTTCAATGACAGCATCGTGGAGATGGCTCGCTAGGCATCAACAGAAGGTCGAACAAACTGGTCTCGAGATACTGGTCATTGGCCGTCGTTACTGTCGCATGCGTTCTAGATGTACATCGGCCGGTTGTGCGTACTTCGGGTGCCCGCTCGGCCAGTGGTGAGCCCTGAGAGATGTTGGAGTGCGTCCCGGCGGCCCAACAACATACAAGACACTGAACAGGGGCACAGGGGGGCATAGACCGGCAAGCCCGCTCCGTGTCGAGTCCACTTGATCCCGGGCATTCTTGATCTAAAGCCGTGTAGATCTTACATGAAAAGCGGTTTACGTCGTTACATAAGGCTGCTGCTGAAGAATTTGTAAGATTCACTGTGAGTTTTGGTTGATGCTTGGATGCTATCCAGGCTGCTGGGCGTCTTAAAGAGGTAGGTGGCACTTCTCAGGGGCAGGGGGTCGAAGCGTGCCGCGGCATGACGGCCGTTATTTTCGGACGGTTGACAGGGAGATCCGACCAGCAGGGAGATCCAAGCTACAGCTAGATCTAGCATCTATAAATAAAGACCCAAGACGGGAACGGCGTAGTAAACCGCATGCGATGAAAACACTCTCTAGGCAGGTGACGACTGTCTGCCTACCTGGTAACGAAGCACCATGCCGCGATATACACACAGAAGCGAACAGCTCAAGAAACAAGAGGTATTTCACGTTTCATAATACGGCTGCTAGACAGGCAGACAGGGTAGCTCTCGTGGTTTACCTTATTGGTTTACCTTATAGTGCTTACACATTCTGGAGACGATGCGAGCAAGACCAATGTCGGCGCTTAACGCGAGTGATTCGCTGGTGTACCGAAGGGAGTATGCTGTCTTAATTCCAGTCTTATTCCAGCGAGACTATATTAGCGTTGGCCTCGGCTTCGAGACTCGACTAATAACCCTACTTTCTTAACCTGACCAACACTCTCAGATCTTGGGACAAGGTAAATGTTGTGCAGGTTACTTGTGTGAATCATTACCGACTATTTCAATGTCTCCGCCCTGTCCGAGATCTGCCTCCTGGATATATTCCAGGTAGGTACATCGTCATATCCTTAAGGGAAAATCTGGCTTGGTAGAAGAAGATGCATTACTGCTCATTTCATGCCAACCCATTCAGCCTTCCACTAGAGGCCATTATGGCAGTGGGACGCGGAAGCTAGCGAGTCCTCTTTTGGTCAATGGTCAAGCTACACCAGCTCTGGGCGTCCTGGCCGCCTTGGCCGCCCTGACAGCCCTGGACTTGACAGGGCCCGGACAGGCGGTATTCCTTGTATTCTCTTTGTTTCCTATTGTGGACACACGTGACCGCATTCTAGGGGGGCGAGGATGGTATGGTGGCCTGCCGTATGTGTGTACTATGAGCCTATGAGAAAACGAGCCTATGAGAAAACGAGCCTATGAGAAAACGAGCCTATAAGAATACGAGCCTGTAGGTGCTCGTGGTGCTGTAGGGTACAATACGGTAAGCGCTGTAAAATATGCACATGTGCAGCGCACCCAAGAAGAGGAAAGCAGAGACAAGGGCTAGACGCCCGGGCAAAGCGGGCAGAAGCGCTAAGACGGGCACTCTCAGGCCTCCTTAGGGGCAGAGGGAGGGGAAATGACTGGTACAAAACGGTACAATTTACGACACCCGATAAGGAGGAATCAGGACTAAGGATGTGACTCTGCACAAGGTATAGCATGTACAGCATAGTACTCTGCTCTGTGCAAGTACATAGTACAGCGAATATACAGCGTATATACAGCGTATTTACAGCGTACAGGCCAACCACAGCAACCCCGAGGCCACCAAGGTGTGATTTTTTATTCTTTTAGTTCAAGAGGGCAAAAGAAGAAGCGACAAAGTGACGAGACCATGCTGCCATGATTTCGGACCATGTCCATGCGCCATAA